TGGGTTTTAAAAAAATCTCGGTTGTAGCACGGAGACTGGAGTTGTGCCCGGTTTATGGCAATAGGCTCACCCCCTATAACATGGGACTCATAACATAAATAATGAAAAGTGGGTGCTACATTGTACAGTGTCATTAAGTGCCGCAGGTAATGTGCACCTCTCCCTACCCCTTCGGGGATAAAGGCGTGATGTTATATTGTTGTTGTTTTTAGATTTTCTCATCATAAGTGATGTCTAGGTCATCGTCCTCAGAGATTTTAGTACGAATTTGTTTTACGTGAGCAGAAGGAACTTAGTGGTTTTTAGTTACTAAGAGTAAAAAAAGTTCCTTAATGTCTGCGCTCTGATTGGCCGACTCTAATGAACCAACCTATCAGAGTGCCACGCCGTAGTCTCGTCTCGATGTCTTCAAAGCTTAAGCCCTCAGTCCATGTACACTACTAAACATAGGCTTCTTCGATAGTTAACCACAGAGCTTGATCTTCAGGTCTTCACATCTTGACACCGGCAACACCAGATGAGTAAGAAGTACGATGTTGGTGGCTTATCAAAAGAACCATAGTTCAATCAGGTTCACATTACAATTCTCTAGTTGCATAAAACTCTGCAACTAGTTGCATACAATTCTCTAGTTGCATACAACTAGAGAGTTGGAACCTGATTGAAAAAGAGTAGCCTATGGAGTTTCTTGCTCGTTCTTCTCCATAGGAATCTACACTTTGGAATTACCCGAGCGTACGGCGCGTCGCGTTGCGCGCGCAACGGGGGAAAATCATCGAATGACTTCTCCAGCCTGGGTGAGGCGGGAGGGAGTGTCAGACACTTACTGACTAAAAACCACCCCGTTCCTTCTCCAGCACGTCGAGCCGGAGCCTCAGTTACCCATCAGGTTCTCCGCAACATAAATGTAGGTGCTTAGTGTGGAGTATTTTTTAACCGACTGTTTATTGTTTGACGTTCAAACAATTGTAGTTTCTAAGTATTTTAACTTCATCCGTTGAAATTTTAACAAAGATAACTAATGATTCATGGACATGGACACAACAAAAATTAAGTACCTATAGGTATAAATTAGTCGTGTGGGTGTATCTAGGCTTGTGTTTGTGTAGTCCTTTTTTTAAGGGGGGAAAATCATCGAATGACTGCTCCCGCCTGGGTGAGGCGGGAGGGAGTGTCAGACTCTTACTGACTAAAAACCACCCCGTTCCTTCTCCTGCACGTCGAGCCGGAGCCCCGGTTACCCGTTAGGTTCTCCGCGGCGTGTTTGTGTAGTCTAGGACTTATAGAAATTGTGTTGTTGTTTGTATTGTTGTAGTAGATATTATACTTAGTACATACATACATAGCATATGCCTTTAATCTCCGAAGTGGTAGGCAGAGGTGTACATTATGCCACTGTATTACACTTAGTATTATTATCTTATTATAAATCTGTAACAACCTATTTGTAAATACCTACATTTTATGCAAATAAATGATTTGATTTGATTTTAATATGGGCCTTGGTTGCCTGTAATAAATAAATTAATTAATTTAAAAAAAATGTTTTATAGTTGATTTTATTGTAAGTGGAGAAATGTTGATGTGATGTCATTGTTTTTGGCTGGTGTAGTCAATTTGTATATAGGTAAGTATGCCGTGTAATATACTCTACCTCCATTGCGCTAAATGCGGTATAAGAGGACCAAACAAGGAGGCACGGACTATTACCGTCTCTTCATAAATGGGTAACTCTTCGTAGAACAATAGTAGACCAACACAAATAAGTTTATTATCCATTACAAGATTTACTTGAATCTATTAGTCATAAAGACGAAACTGTCCTCATACTTTTTTAAACGGAAATCCGTTATTTGGTACCATTCAGCGTCGCGGTACGACGGACGGTACCACCAACTACAATACCTAAAAATGTAACAGAACTGCTACCACGGAATTCTAAACATAGATGCGTCAATAAGAACCGATTTGTTCCGATATTAAAAAACTGATTCAACGAAAAGGTAAAGTTATCGAAAAAATAACGATTTTGTATCTAGGAAGTGATTTCTGTATCGAGTTGCCTACATAGTTCTTTCAAGGTTACACGAGTATATTTTATAACAATAATTGGTTTTTGTCAAAAGAACAGGTCAATCGATCAAATTAAATTCTAGACTTTAATTGTTTGAACACTGTTAGTCTTTAAATAGACAAGTTATTTTGATATTTTATAGAATCATTTTTATTGAATGGTAGCCTTTTTTATCGTATAATATTTGTTTGTTTAGTTACGGTATTTATATCTAATACCTACTCTACGACTGCAAAAAGCGAATATGAGTGTGTCTATTGTGCTTTTTCGCCTTATTTATACCTACGTATTTTATTTGATCGACGTTGATGAATATCGATTAGGTAGAAGGGTTTCATATGCAGGGCCGCACAATAATTAATTCAGGGCCCTTTTGATTTTTTTTAACCCAGACCTTAAACAACAATTTGAGTAGCACACAAGGATTTGCATCGTGCGGGAATCTAACCTATTATAAGTTGCGCGGCAGACGGTTGCCGCGCAACGTGTAACGCGTGTGTGTCCGATGTAGAAATTGTCAGTCCTTCGGGGCGCCTTGAGTATGGCGGCCCTGGGTACGGGCCCCGAGTACCCTTATGGTAAAGACGGTACTAGTCATTTGAGTCTGTATAAACATCTATGAAGCTCGATATATCTAGTCATAATATATTAAGCCTTTAATAAAAAGCCTTGAACTGTAAAAAATTAAAAAAAAAAATTAAGTACAACCGGGTGTACCAAACTCTTACCGACTACCTAACTGTCGAAAAGCATAACGTTCTTAATTCAAAATCTCTGTATCGGTCTGTTTTCTACTGTCTGTAAAACTATGCAACGGATTCTGATGAGTTTTAGATAGGAGTCATTCAAGAGGGAGGTTTTTCTCTTTTTACCTAGTTCTGGAAAATGGTTATTTCATATTGTACTGGGACCGGTCTATCGGCACTTATATTAAGAATGGGACGGTTGTTATATGTCGGGCATTACATTATAGTCCTGGCGAATCCATTAGACATATTATTTCTGATTGTGGTCGTTAGGCTAATAGTGAATATTTGCATAGGCATAATCATAATCAAGTAGCCAAGATTATCCATCAGCAACTTGCTATGCACTATCGACTTGTTGAGTCTCAGGTACCGTAGGTACTACAAGTGGGTCGGGCACATGCCCGACCCACTTCTGGAAAATGACCATTTCACATTGTACTGGGACCGGTCTACCACCACTGACAGGACTATTGTAGCTAATAAATCTGACATAGTAGTGATAGACCGACAATTGCGTCGCACGATGATAATCGATGTCACCATTCCCCACGACGAGAACCTTGTGAAAGCTGAGAAATATAAACAAATAAAATATCTAGCTTTAGCTCACGAGTTGCGAGTTGTGGATTCGACTATTGTTGTGCCGATAGTCGTGTTGGCCAATGGGTTAATCCAAGCCTCGACATCCATCTTAGGAGGCTGACGTTACGTGGATGGATCAAGGGCCTGATACAGATGGCAGTTCGTATCGTGAGGAGGTTTCTGTCGCTGGAGTCTTTGGATAATGCTCCCGGTAACGGTCGTATCTGTGGTTGCAATTCATGTCGCCTTGGTGGAATCATTGCACCCGCTAAGCGGCGTAACTAAACAATCACGTTTATTCAAGTCAACCTAACAACCAGTTATTATTCGTAATAAATCTAAGTTATCAGTTCTTAATATCACGTTTTATTATTTATCAATTTATATGCAATTAAATTCATCACGCTTTGTTTTATTGTAGAGGTACCTATTTATCTTTTATTGATTTGATATTTTAATTTATCTACATATGTAGGTAAGTAGGTACTTACGTATACATTTTTTTTATGGCATAAGCCGGTAAACGAGCAGACGGATCACCTGATGGTAAGCAATCGGCGTCGCCCATGGACACCTGGAACACCAAAGGCATTACAAGTGCGTTACCGGCCTTTTAGGGATTAGGAGTTTGAGGATCATTGGGGATTCAGGAATTGGGGAGATTGGGGAAGGGGAGGGTAATTGGCCCTCCGGTAACCTCACTCACACGACAAAACATAACGCAAGCGTTGCTTCACGTCGGTTTTCTGTGAGGCCGTGGTATCACTACGGTCGAGCCGGCCCATTCGTGCCGAAGCATGGCTCTCCCACACCTTAAAACAACATACATGTACCTGATAATTTACACATCTATTTTTAACCGACTTCAAAAATAAAAGGAAGTATTTATGTATGTGTGTATGTTTGTTTGTGTGCGATTGTCTCGCGACTGGCTGATACGATTTTGATGCAGTTTTTAGAGTTACTCGCGGTTAGCGTTTAGTAGATAGACGTACGTCATTATTATTTTGGATAATTTTCACTGTAAAAACTATTGGAATCGTTGATATCCTCTATAATAATAAACACATCTATGCAATCATTATAAATTGCAGACAAGCTATGTTGTAAAACTTTTATAGGTTTGGATTGGACTTGTGATGAGTTATCGGCTTCGCAGATATTCAAATATCGCTCTCTTTTATAACAACTTGAAGAATAAATTTCTACGTATATCAACTTTATTATAGTTCCAAACGGTGTCCCATTTATGCAGTTATTTGATGCTATTGTGGCAATGAAGGCCCATTGTAAAAAAATAATCGCTTTGTGCAACAATCTTCCACTTGTTGCTATTAATAAACTAACAGGCGTGACGTCATTTTATTTGTTGAGGAGTTGAGTTGTCTATGGTTTGCGTAAAAATAGAATATGAAGTAATTTTGGTGTTTAGGTATTTTATTAAATTCAAATATATTTTCTATTATGCGAAAACTTATTTTGAAATATTTTGTGCTTGATTTTATAAAGCAAAACATTTCATCATAATTTATTATTTATACATGGCCACCCTAAACCTACGTGGAGAGAAAAAAGAATCAAATTGTCTATTCGCCATTAAAATGGCGTCATCTAAGGAAACCTATTGTTTGTGTGGTCAACCTTATAATATTGGACAATTTATGATAGAATGTGATTGCTGTCGTGAGTGGTTTCATGGCAGGTAATGTGAAAAATATATAAATTACGTAGTGAAAGTTTCGTTGTGTGTTAAAAAAAATGCATCGAAGTTTGACAGTGTATGCGCGTTCGGCCATCACTTGTATCAGAATGTTTTACTTAATATTTCGTATTTTTACGTTCAATTTTGTGGTTTTTACTTTTCTGTAACAATTAGGTGGTGTATATTTAATTATCTAAGCTTACTTCAGTACTTTGCAATAGTTCTTGTTTGTTTACATCGATGGTCGTCATGGGTTTATCAGAATGCGCTTTGCAGCCGTGTATTCTTTGTGTTTATTTATTATTTTACGCCTGATAACGTGTTGTTAAAAGCCGACGTATGTAATTTTATATTATTTTAATTTTGCATTTAATTTAGTGTAATAAGAAATTAAATCTAATTAGAATTCAATCGTTTACAACTGTTGTGAAATCTCTTGGGTTTTAATTTTATGCTATATGAGGCTTGGGTCCAACAGTGTTGCTAACTAGGACTTTTACCACCTGTTCTAGCAGTCTTCATTGGTCTATACATAATATTCAGATTTGATAAACTTTATACAATTAAATTAAGGTTTTATGGCCACTTTGAATAATTATTATGAGCTGTATGGCAATCAATTACTTTGTTTAGTACATAAAACTTTACATCTGTACATGTTCTGTAATGGTCACAAAATGCAATATGTGTTACATCCATATAAATATTCTTAAATTATTAGTTAGTTGTTTATTACCAAAGTAATTACATTATGTCATATTATTTTTTATGATTTGAAGGGCTTACATCTTAACCTTGAATTTAGATTAGACATGATAAATTATCAAATCTCATAAATATAAAAATGTGATGTTTAATCTAGTGAATTCCAGAAATAGTCAAAATACAACAAACATTTCGGTCAACATAATTGTATGCTATAGACATATATTTTTTTTAATAAAATTATTTGAAAAACTATTTCATTTTTGCTACTAAGTAATTATATTAATCAAAAATAAAAAAAATAAAAATTTAAATAATGTCTATCTCAATAGTCTGTGAACAACTGAATCATTTTATTTTCCCGCCAAATTCCCACAGACCAAACCAAAAATATTTAAGATTTCATTACTTTTCAATATATCACTTTATAGATAGTTTATAATGATTGTCATTCAAATTATTTAAAAACTAATAAGCAATTCTTGTAAGATTATTAAGATGTGACCTAAGAATATTTAAATCTATACAGATAAATAAAATTAAAGTTTCTGTTTGTAATATTAAATAACCAATTTTTACTGCATGCATATGAATATACATAATATGATACACATGATATGTTGGCACGGTTAGTGCGGTGGCTAGGCAACCGGATGCTGTTCATCGTCATTCTTTGTGTGATCCACAAATTGTCTGGTGTGGTTGTTATGTGTATTTGATATTGTATGTTTGTAAACGCACCCATGACACAGAAGAAAATCCTAGTGTGGAGCAACACTTTTTTTTAATCGTCCAACATAAATTTTTGTTTGCCTGTTTGTGGACTATTTTTGCTAGACTTTTATTGGCAAGTAGCTGATGTACTACATAGGCTAATATTAATTTAAAAACTGATACAAAAAAATGTTATGTTCTAAAATACATATTCAATGCAGACAAAATTGCAGGCAATAGCTAGTCAACTAAAAAAAAATGCATAATGCAACACTTTGAATGTCTTGATTCTATAATGTAATCTTTGCATGCAAAACACACTAAATGTCAATTAATATTTTTTTCTGATAGCTTTACTGATGTTTGAAATATTCTAATAAGCTAATATAATGATTGCCTTATTAGTCATCCTGAGTGTAAAAAAGTATTATTATATTTTATGGTTGACAAGTTATGTGTTAGACTCTATAGAAACTTAATAAGTAAAACATACTTGGACTATATCAATTTGTTTATTCTTTATCTTATTCTTTATCTTTCTTAAAAACATGGTTAACACTTTAACAGATTTGTAATACATACCTATATATACAAAGTAAAGATTGAATATGGTGTATGTTGCCTGTACATTTGTGGAAAAAAGTATTATTGTGTCACAAAATTACAGCACAGACTAAGGGCCGATTTTACAATCATCAAATATTTTAAAAAAAACCTTGCCCCACACTAGTATTTTCCCCTGTGTCGTGGGTGTGTTTACAAACATACAAGTTCACATACACAATGACACCCAGACCCGAAACAACAATATGTGGATCACACAAAGTGTTGTTCCATGCTGGAATCGAACCCGCAATACGTTGCCCAGCTACTGCACCAACTGTGCAGTCAATTTAACTGTAGAAAAAAATTACATTTGACAGTTGGAAGTATGGAAGAATTGTCAAATATTCATTGTTATTACTCGGTTACAATCTATCTGGTTTTGGAAAAATCGGCCCTAAAAGATTTGTCTAAAATATTCATCATACACTGTATCTATATTTTTCTTTGGGAATTAAGTGTTTGGTTCTATAATAATTTTCATTCATTCTTTTGTTTTTCATTCATGTAAAATACAGGATTTTCTTGTGTTAGGCGTAATAGTGTGTTTAACAAGACATAATTTCACATACACTATAATATTTGTCACTAATACCATTTTATATAACCCCTACAAGCCCCACATTATCATAAGCCATTGTACAATCATATTGTAATGACAGTCAAAATATTGATTGTTACTACAACAAGAGTATAAATAAGTATATTGATTCTATTTCCTTTCAAGGTTTTATGACAACATTGGAAACGATGAAAAAATTACTCTACAAATACATTATAATTATTTACATGATACAAACAATACAAACATGTCTAACATAGACATTTCAAATTAAATTTTTATTTAACCTCTTGAATATCAGCAGATTAGTGTTTAAGGCAGTCCGCTAACTATTAACATATTATGCTGTTTAATTTTTATATCAAATCAGAATTTCTATCAGTTCTATCCGTCAGTCTCATTCCAAAATTAAGATTCTAATTAGAATTCTAAGGAAAAAGATGAAGAAGAAACTCCATTGGTACTCTTTTGAAAATTGTTCTTTGATGAGAAGTTCCAACTTCCTCCATCCAAGAAGAGGCCTTTGGTCAGCAGTGGCCACTTATCGGCTGTTGATGTGATGATGTGTAGAAGTCTTAAAATTTCTTTTTTCTTATTTCAGTTGCGTTGATGTCAAAATATATCATTCGGATGACATAGACAAGTATCACTGCCCAAAATGTGCACAGACATACGGACCTTCAGTATGTAAGTAGTTTTTATTATATTAAATTAATTGATTGTGGATCAAAACTTGGCAACATTATTTCTACCACTACAAGTTTAGTTACCTACAATAAGAAACAGGATGATTTTTGAGCTTTATAATTTTGATCACAATTAAATCTGTTTATTGATGACTAATATGTTAAACATTGTGTGTTGTGTCTGTCCGCTATAGTGTAGTATATTTAATTGTATTTCTAAGATTTAAAATACACTTATTGTACAATTCAATAGTGCAAATCTTATTTTAACCAATAGATATTACTTAACTTACTTCTTACTTAACTAATTTAAGCAATATGAAGGTAATTTTAGGTTTCCATGGATGAAAATAGGATATGTGACAAAAATTTAGGATTTTTTCTGTCAATTTGCAGTAAAAATACCAACAAACAATCACCGGGCGGATCGCTACGAGTTGGGAGCGGAGACACGGCCCTCACAGGTGGGAACTCCGGCCTGGGTGCGAGCGCTGGCCGCTCGACCTCTCCGGCCCGCCCCCGCAGCTCTACAGCGCATGAGCCCCCATCAGTTCACTGAGGAATTCATCAGAGATAATGGTAAGACTACAACTAGTGCGAAGTACCTTCTATTTTTACCTATTAATTACACCAATGGTTCCCAAGCAAGATGGTCCGCAAAAGACAAAATATGGTCCGCGCAATAAAAAAGTAATACACAAGACAATATCTCTGTCCAATAAATACCACTCACTGTTTAAAGCTCGACAGCCGAGTGGGACCATAGATTTAAATAATCCAAAATTCACTATTTTTTATTGAAAACGAACCTTATGATAACGGTATAAAACTTGAAACCCGCGATTAACCCTTCGAGTACCGTCATTATAGACACAATTAAAGAATAGGTTGCGGTCACCGATGTCGTCGCGGTGTTTGGACAGTTTAAAGCTAAGGTTAATGTCATGTAACATCAAATTTCACAAAAATTTACTTAAATAATCAAACTCATTCAAATTCAAGACCAAATTTTTATCAATAGCTTGTTGGTATTAAATATTATATCTATTTGTACAGGCTTCACGCGACCGGTAACATTTACCACAACAGATGGCTTGGAGATGAAGACACCCAACCCTGGCACTTTCACAGTCCGATCCGTGCTCAGATATTGTGGAGCTCAACTTGAGGTATGTATTCCATTCACACTGATTATTTTCAAGGAAGGAATTTTATTATACTTTCTACCTGTACTGCCTTGCTGGTTTAGTGGTCGGGTTCGATTTCAGAGTCTGGCAAAGTATAATTCCAAGTCGAAGTCAAAGCATTTATTTTAATGATCCTTAATTAAGTACTTTTTTAATTATCTATAAGCTCACCCCCTATTACATGGGAATCATAACATAAATAGTGAAAAGTGGGTGTTACATTGTACAGTGCATAATGTGTACCTCTGCCTACCCCTTTAGGGATGAAACGTGTGATGTTATGTTATGTTTATTAATAATCCAATTTGAATTGTCCGTCAGTAAGTTCAACTCACTGTTAGGTGTGTCAGTGAAGTAGGCATATTTTATGATTATACAACAATGGTACTGGTAACATAGAACCTGGATTCAAACCATTCTTATCTCATAGATAGAATATTTCAATAAGGTTTTCAATTTGACTAGTGGAAAATAATAATATTAATTTTCATATAGGTGGAAGTGATAGACGTACGGAAGCAGTCGACGTTGCGCATGCCACTGGGCGACTTCGTGGACTACTTCGAGACGCCGCCCGAGCATAGAGACGAGAAGGTGCTCAACGTGCTCAGCTTGGAGTTCAGTGAGACTAAGTAAGACTTATTTAATAACTCACCCTGCTACGCAAGGAATAAGGTTGGTTTTCGACTGCAAGCAGGCAGCAGGAAACTGTTTAAGGACACTGGTTACAGAGGCCTTAGTACGAGTTTGATTTACGTTTAAAGTATTCGAAACGAGTATGCTTTCGGCACTCTGATTCGCTGGCACCAATGAAACAACCAATCACAACGCCGAACGCGTACTCGTTACGATTACTTGAAACGTAAAACGAACTCTTTCTAAGGCCTCTGAAGACTCATCAATTATTTCGTCTTGAGTGACTAGAGAGAATAGCTCTATTTTTTCTTGCTATATGAACAACTTCTTTGAACTGATTAATAACTGCAATTGAGACTCGATTATTAGAGGGAAGTGCAAGTAGTTATTGGGACTTTGGTTTGAAGTAGGTGTAGGAATAGTGTAGTTTTTATTCAGTAAGAATCTGACATTCCCTTTCTCCACACGCAGAAGTGGCAAAGATATTCGATGATTTCCATCCTTAAAAAATGGATCTGAGTTATCATGGTGATTATTAAGCAACGCACTTGATTAAACTTTGATTGGATTTCAATAATGTGATTTAAATGAAATATGACTGGGAGTAATTCTGTACATGGCGTCCCGCGCAGCATGTCCCGCGCGGTGGAGCCGCCGGGCGTGGCGGCGCGGCTGGACTGGTCGGAGCGCGCGTGGGGCGGCGGCGCGCCCCGCGAGCGCGCGCCCGCGCCGCTCGTGCGCAAGTACTGCCTCATGTCGGCCGCCGGCGCGTACACCGACTTCCACGTCGACTTCGGCGGCACCACCGTCTGGTACCACGTGCTGCACGGACGAAAGGTAATATCTTATCTTTGTGTAACTTTCCTGAGACATACTAAAGTAATGATTATGTTTTTCGGCTTACTCACGTAACTGGTTGGCGAGAAACTTGATACGTGTATCGTGTGTCACGCAATGTCACTCACAAAATATAAGTCCGTGGCATGGCTAGAAATTCGTCGAGTACTTCGTCAAACAGTTAATAAGCTAAACAACGTAATAGTAACAATCTTATTTGTCACTACTATCATCCTCAGTAGATTTACTTTTATTTTTATGCTTAATAAAGTGTTTTGCGCAAAATGTTGCGCAAGTCGCAAGGTTCAAGTCTTAAGTTAACTCTATTGTTATGCGTAAACAATAATAACCTCTATATGAAATTCCAGATATTCTACCTTATCCCGCCAACAGCGACCAATCTCGCATTGTACCAACAATGGAGTGCGGCTAACAATCAGAATGAGAGGTTTTTCGGAGACATGGTAGAATGGTATGGGACGGCTGAAGTATCTGCCGGACAGACTCTCTTCATACCCAGCGGGTGGATCCATGCAGTGCTAACACCGTGTGACTCTTTGGTCTTCGGAGGGAACTTCCTCCATTCCTATGCCATTGAAATGCAATTACAGTGAGTATTTTTGAGTGTTTTTGGCATTGAAGTATAAATTCGTGGTGATACTTCAAACTTAGAGTTGTTGACAAAGCTAGCTTTTATAACATAAAAACATTTCTATAATCTTTATGCGTAGCTGGATTCGCAATCACAGTTTAAACAGTTCAGATTTATCAGGTCTTCTTGTTGCATCTATCATATCATCATTTATTGTGTAGTCTCTTAGTCGGTTCTTACGAAACCCGGGGGAAAGAGCAGAGGTGGTATTCTATTTTTATTTTATAGTGTTTTATTCAACCTTAGTTTACTTAATAACTATTGAACTACAGTTTTCATAAATAAGATGAACATGACTCAACGATCGTTCCATGTTACAGGATCTATGAAATAGAGCGTCGCGTGGAGACGCCGACAATGTTCCGGTATCCATTGTTCGAGGCGATGCACTGGTACGCCGGCGCCCATCTACTCACCATGCTGCGCCGGCATAATGAGGAGATACAGGTACAATATATCACCAAAAATTATTCTGTAAAAAAACTAGCTAAGGCTTGATGGTGCTGCTTGTTTATCTATACTACATATAATTAACTCGTCGAGTACCGTCATTATAGACACAATTAGGTATAGAACAATAGGTTGTGGTCACCGGTGACCGCTTGGTGTTTGACAGTTTAAATCGTAGGAAAGTGCAAACTGTATATTGAATATTTTTTTAAAGAATGCTTGAGGTGTGTTACAAGCGGCACCGAAGCTAAAAATATGGTTTATAGAATTTTTGTCTGTTTGTCTGTATGTATTTCAAAAATTACTACACGGATTTACTTCAAATTTTGTAATAACTAACAGGTCGGGTCAACATAAAGGCTACATATTATCACGCTATCCCCTACGGGGGAGGAGCTGTGAATCACTATTCCACGCGAACGATGTCGCGGGCAACAGCTATTGTCTAATAATTTTCATTAAATTACGTTTAAGAAATTGACTTACACCTCTTTTTTTGAAGTCTGTTAATATACTAAGACTTATTCTATGTGTAACAAACATTTCTGATAAACCGCATCAATATCGGTCCCAAATAAAAATCGCGGATAAACATACATACAAGTCAAACTTCGAACATCCCCGTTTTGTTAAGTCGGTTAAAAACTAGCCAAACTTCGATGGAGATGTTTTTTTTGTCCGTAAACAGTGATGAAATCTCTAGATTAGACAAAGGTGAACTGAGTCTAACGTTCTTTACTGCGACTAAGGGCTCGTACACAAATGCGATGCGATGCGAATTTGCAACGCAGAAAATTACGATGCAAAGTGCTGCGATGCGATTTCGTGCGACAAGGCGTCTCCCAGGACTCCCAGGGTGACCATTCCTTCGACGACCGTCAACCGTACTAAACGTATTTTAAATTTAAAACTAGGTCTAAACTATGTTATTGCTTAGGAGATACAGGAAATAGAAACAAAGAAGATTTTGGGAAGATAAGATTTTGATGCGCGATGCGAATTAATTCGCAAGTTCTTGCGATGCGTAGAGGGAGTTTGCACATTTTTTTTGATGCGACGTCGCATCTTAGTTTTGCTATAAATTCAATAATTTGACTAGTTTTTAATTACAGTATTTGTTAATATAAGACCTGAAGTTGTAATAATGATTTGTAATACCTTAGGACGAGGAGTTCACGCTGAGTGAGAGTACCAGCCGGCCGACGCCGGTGGCCATCCCCCCGCTGCTACTGCGCGGGATCAAGATACTCGCCAACGCACTCAAGGAGTGGCATGCACTTAAAAGCGTAAGAATTTATTTATTACACTTTATTTTACACAACAGAAACTACAAAGACAAACTTGCAAATTTTTACCTCATGGAGGGCATAAATCTTATTAGAAAAATGATAAAATACGAAAATTTTACGAATCTGTCTATTTCAAAAATGTTGTTAGTATATATCTAAATGTATTTGTTTAGATTGTGAGTGTTTTTACTAATTGAATAATGTAATATCTATCCGTGAAAACCTGTAATTGGCTTTCTGATGTTATTTTGCCATTATTTGTTTGCCATGTGTAGCTGTTGGTTTTCCAATAAATAAATAAACTTCTAAGGCCTAGAAAAACGTTAGCCGGTGATAGATTCCTTCTGTGTAGACTAGAAGACATTTATCCTGTATGTTTATTCTGGGTTAACAGACGGACACGGCGAAACGCGACAACGTGCCTAAATGCCTCAACTCCGGCCAGCTGGTGAGGGAACTCTGCAAGGAACTCAGGACGCTGGAAAAACGGTCCACTACCACTACCAGTAAAGATAAGGTAAAGATAGAAACCACTTGTTGAATATTGACATATTTTAGTAGGCTTTTATCTTGGTTAGAAGCCTGTTTCACAACGGATAGCCGCTATGTACCAAATAAAAATATAGAACGTAATTTTTATGAGCTGCCAGCAGCATCGCCCGCGTTCTTGTTAAATAAAAAATACCTATGTGTTATTCTACAGTCTAAACCATAATTTACCTCTGTTACAAATTGGATCATGATTGTGTAAGAACCATGCACACAAACTCACTCACAAACTTTCGCATTTATAATATTAATAAGATCTATCACATCAGTCTTGATTAACACAAGTAAACCACTTTTCAGGACTTCAAAGTGAAGAACCACGCGTCTCCGACCAAATCAAATTCAAAGAAATCACAGAGCAGCTCAAAGAAGTCTTTGAAGTTGACATTACCGAAGCCTATAATGCATATGGGTCAGAACGGCGAGTTTGTGGAGGAGAAGAATTTTAATGATAAGTTTTATATTGATAATAAGGTGAGTTTGGCTATATATTTTCCATTTTAGGACTTAGTGGACGACCTTGCGAATTACCGGGCGAGGAGTGATTTTTAGTCAGTTAGCGTCTGACACCCCCTCTCGCCTCGCCTAAAGCGGGAAACGACAATAGATCATTTTCTCCCTTAAAAAAAAGGACTCCTCTACTCATTGGGTGATCTCTAAAACTAGATTTACTAGCGTCTGAAACCCCCTCTCGCCTCGCCTAAAGTGGGAAAAGCCAATAGATCATTTTCCCCCTTAAAAAAAAGGACTCTGCTCTACTCATTGGGTGATCTTTAATCTCTAAAACTATAGTCAGAATTTTAATTAGATTCCAGATTTGACAATAGCTACTATCATTTTGTGAAATAATGATACCACATATAATAGTGTAGTGATGAACACAAAAATCGATAAACAATCAGTGTGTGTGTTTTATAATAAATGTTACAGAAAGTGACAGGATAGCGATAGCGATGACGGCGACAATTTATAAAATAACTTATTACCATAATACATCTATCTGTTTTATTTGTCATGTTCCTTCATGATTACGTTTTTATATTTATTTCACACACAATTATAAAAGAAAAGTCTCAGATCGTTAATTAATCGTCTAAACTAATTTATCGGTTCAGAAATATTTAATTTCCTGATATACTTAGTTTACGAGAATAAAATTATAAACAAGGAGAATCGATCCAGAAATATTGCATTTCCATATCGAATAATTTCGCAACGTCACTATTTAGTACTTGTCATAACGTTGCAACACTGAAATTGTCAAATCTGGAATCGAATTAAAATTCCGAGTATAGATTTACCGTTTTAAAATTTTGTAGATCGTGTCAAAAGATTGATTCTTATTACTTTTATTTTACTTTTTAAACTCGGCTAGTCATTTAGGGTTATAAATAGTACCTTTTTAAAGTTAAAAAGTTCTTACCGTAAAATTAAAACAAACAACATAATTAAACATACATGTCAGGTTACTCTAGGCCAAATTACCCCCCTTTCCCCAATTCCTGAATCCCCAACGATCCTCAAATTCCTAATCCCACAAGGCCGGTAACACAATTGTAACGCCACTGGTGTTCCAGGTGTCCATGCCATCAGGTGATCCGTCTGCTCGTTAACGGCTTATGCCATAAAAAAAGTATTATAATTTTTTTATACATTTACACTCTTTTATAGGAGGTAGTATATCAAGAACGTTACGTAACAACAGAAGACGGTAAGTACGGCAATGGTGTCCCGGACACAAAGTACGTGGTGGAAGGAAAAGAGATGGTGATCCCGGATAAAGGATACGCCTATCAGACGTACGAAGAGGTCTCCTATCCCGACGGCAATGGGTATGTCGAGAGACCGGACAAGAAGACCACTTTGAAGATAAAAATGAAGTAAGTTTTCTAAAAATTCTTATTAGTTTTACAGGTATTAATGTTTTTTATGCAGTTATATATTATCTAGTTCCCAAAAGATTTATAATGTTATCAAACACAAGATAGGTAACCCATGGAATGAAAGTGACATTCGTTTGTTAGTAGTAGAAGTTAATTAATTTCTGCAATAATACTGATAACATTCGAAATGTAGTGTGTAAGGAAATATAGATTGCAGTTAAAATTTTAATAAGATTATAGTTAAATATAGTTTATAGTTAATAGTTTAGGAAACATATTTTAAGTTACTATGTCGAATTAGGTTAAGTTATCTGTAATGGCAAAGTAATGATTAAATAAATAAATTATTAGTTATTGTCGAAAAAATAAGTAGACAAATAATTAATAAAACCTATGCCGGAATACTGAAACGTTACTTAATTTTAAGTCGTGCTCAAATATCGTGCCATCTCTGTCATTTTACAAAGAATTTGTAGAGATAGAACTATACTTAAGCACGACTTAAAATTGAGTAGCGTTTCAGTATTCCGACACTACAATATTGCCTATTACTGCATATATAATCAAGAGGTATGTAAAATCCATAGTAATTGGCGTTCCATAGTCTCTGCCTGCCCCCATGAGAGACAGGCGTGAACTTATGTATGTATAATCAGGAATACTGACACAGACATGCTAAATGCACTATCTCTTTACAGCAATTCTCCATCGTCATCACGCGACGAGGCACCACCTCCATACTCATTGCCAGAGCATTCTATCCTGAAGTCCCACCTCATACGATCAGACCGACCCACCCTGAAACCTATACATCAATGGACCATCTCCAAAAAGGACATCGGAGACTACCACGAGGAACAGATACTATTTACCAATGAAAATCTTCAAACTAATGTCAGAATTGATGGACAGGAAATGAATTATGGACCTGGTGAGTTAATGGCATTAAGAAATTGCTGTAGGTTTTTTTTCTATGGATTTGCTACGGGACATATTGTAACGTCACCTTGTTTGACGTCAAATAGCACGCATATTTCTTTAAAAAACATGCTATAAAAACAAGAAAATTAATTATATCGTAAAATTAACACAGAAATGATAGTGTCACCGCCGTTTTAACCAACCTCCCATATCATCTCTTAACTAAGAATTACGTGGCATCGAAATTAACCCCTTATCTTACCCCCTCTTACCTGCAGGTGTCACTTATAGGTTGGGAAAACAAAGTGTCGTTAAGTATAGTGACACTTAGTAAGGAGCTGCTAAGATAAACTTATCTTAACTCGTCGAGTACCGGTTTTGTAGATACAATTATAGAACAATAGGTTGCGGTCACCGGTGACCGCTTGGTGTTTGACAGTTTAAAATTAAAGAGAGGCTGGTCAAAATATTACAGGGTTTCTTTAAAATTGAGCCGCTGCCTGGTGAAAATATTTCAAGCGGTTCCTTAAAATTGAGAGGCTGGTGATTCAAGACACAAATGTTTTAGTCATGTTAACATTTAAGTTAACATTATTAATACCATACTCATCCATTCCCCAGGCATGTATTCAGCAGAGGACATACAGCAAGACTACCAATACTCCGAATCTGCCAAGCCTGGATCGTACCAACCTGTTTACAACTACCAACAACCTCAACACATTGCGTACACTGCAGTCGATAACTACCAGAGATATGAAGAAGTACCCGGTGTTCATCAGGTATGTTTCAAATATTTTATTACTAGCTACTCACTCGCTCTGCACCTATTGTTCTTAGCTTGTAACCCTCATCGGTAAATGTACTACCCAATACTAAAAGAAGTGGGATGATGACAGGGTATTAAAGTTAAAAATCTAATTAGTCCATAAGTTAGGTAATGAAAAAATGTTAGATACGTATTTTTTTATTTTGTCGTATAATAAAATAATACTTAGATAAAACGAATCAAAGTTTAGGAGTGGGGGCTAAACGTCATTTCTACGTATAAAATGTATATAAAAGTGACGTCACGCGACATTTCAAATCAATATATCGTCGAAAGTATTCGTTTCTGTAAGAAAATAAAAAATACGTGTGTAATGATTTGAAATAATCTACCAGACGGACATTAAACTGTCTAACACCAAGCGGTCACCGGTGACCGCAACCTATTGTTCTATAATTGTGTCTACAAAACCGGTACTCGACGAGTTAAAATAAAAATTAGTCATCTATCCTATTATTAAATTCGAATCAGTAGTTGCTGAGATTAATGCAAACAAACAAAAAGTATAGTTAGATAGATATAAATAAAATAAATAAAGACTATAATGTGACTGCACGGTTGGCGCGGGGGCTGGGTAACTGGCTGCTGCACAACGTGTCGCGGGTTCGATTACCGCACGGAACATCTCCTTGAGTGATCTACAGTCACGTGTGAACTTATATGTTTGTAAACGCACCCACGACACAGAAGAAAATTCTAGTGTGGGGCAACGTTTATAAAAATAAAAAAATCACAAATGTAACGATCCCAGAGTAGTGTTTTTAAATTTGTATTTCTCATGTGAAATGTTTTTTAGAACGTTTCATTAACAGAACAAATATTGTTTTCAGCAAACGGCGAGTTATAACAACGTGGCGGTGGAGGAGACGGTGAATGGAGACTACCACCAGAACCAGCTACCCTCGTACGACGCGGCCATAGCTCACCAGTACACCGCTACTACTAACTATGTAAGTTGTTGTATATTTTTCTTTATAGACATAGGGCGACAGACGAGTGGACGGATCACCTGATGGTAAGCAATCAGCGCCGCCTATGGACTTCCAAGAAAGTTAAAATCCGTTGTCAGCTTTTTGAGGAGCTGTGTCGATCCGACTTATAGTTAAAATAGTTTTTTTTTGAGTTATAATTAGACATACATCCAAATATTTTTTTGGATAAAGAGCTGAATCTGGCATTAGCTAAGTGTGGGAGAGCCATGCTTCGGCACGACAGGGCCGGCTCGACTGGAGTGATACCACGGCCTCACAGAAAAGCAATCATAACATCACGCCTTTTATCAGAGAAAGGGAAGTGCACATTACGGCACTTAATGTCGCTGTACAATGTAACCACCCACTTTTCACTATTTACTGAGTCCCATGTAATAGGGGGTGAGCCTATTGCCATATAAGGGGCACAGTTCCAAACTCCGTGCTACTACTGACTATTATTAATAAACCTAGTAATACTTTGCCCGACCCGGAAATCGAACCCGAGACCCTTTGCCCAACAGTCGCACTGCCAACTGCGACCACTATGACTAGGCCAACGAGGCAGTCAAGCTAACTTATGGGATGGTTTAGTTTGATAGACAGTAGCCATATATCTAATCACAAATACTTATCACACAGGTGGTAGAAGAATCAAAGCCAGGTGTATCGTCAGCCAACTCGAGTCAGCCGACGACTCCAGTGCGACGGTCGGAGCGCCCCGTGAGACGTCGCGTGTCCAATACGTATGACTACGAGGACTCCGACCTGTACATAGACGACACGCCCGCGCCGCGCCCTCGCAAGTCCAAACACAATAAGCACTACCGACGCACTGAACATAATGGTGAGTTTTACGTAACTTTTGCTCAGGCAGATGGCGCTTCGATCGATTTTAAGGTGGTACGAAGCTAAATGTTGCATATCGACGTGAGAGACTTTATTACTTGTACAAACTTGAAAGGTTTTAAAGAAATTTTAAACAGGAGAAAAGAAAAGAGCGTACTCCTTTTTAAAGGGTCGGCAACGCACCTGTGACTCCTCTGGTGTAGCGGGTGTCCATGTGCGGCACTGATCGCTAACCATCAGGTGATCCGTCTGCTCGTTTGCCTCCTATTTCATAAAAAACAAAAACATTTTAGGTTTTTTTACCTAAAAATTTAAATCAAGTTCTTTATTATTGACATTTTCAATTAATGCAATGTTTAGTTTAGTTTACTAAAAGTGTCTTGCTAAATTATTATTAACCGGTAGATGTCCCATCGTTCTTAAAATTGGTATATAACTTAAATGGTGTCATTGGTATTTCTAAAAATTGCACTTCAAATAAAAATATAAATAATAGAAATAAAAGGAAAACCTTTAAAACTAAAAACGAGCTGAATGGACTTAGATGACTCTAAATTGAACTCTGTAACTAATTACATATTTCTTCTTTCAATGCTTGACGGGACTAAAGATTGTGGACCGAGTTATATAATGAGTAAGCTAATTAGACATACTATTTTTTTATTGTAGATTTAGTGCTTACAAAATAGATTATAAGTTACCTATATCTTGCATGTGTTGATTATGAGTCGACGTGATCCATGGTAGACCGCATCATCGCTCACCTCCAGGCGAGATAGTAGTCAAACGTCGGCTCATCAAATATTTAAGTGCGGGAGAGCCATGCTTCGGCATGAATGGACCGGCTCGACAGGAGTGATACCACGGCCTCACAGAAAACCGACGTGAAGCAACGCTTGCGTCGTGTTTCGTCGAGTGAGGGAGGTTACCGGAGGCCCAATTACCCTCCCCTTCCCCAATCTCCCCAATTCCTAAATCCCTAACGATCCTCAATTTCCTAATCCCCAAAAGGCCGGTAACGCCCTTGTAATGCCTCTGGTGTTCTAGGTGTCCATGGGCGACGCCAATTGCTTACCATCAGGTGATCTGCAGGCTCGTTTACCGGCTTATGCCATAAAAAAATCTGTTGAAGAAGTGATTGATGAAAACAGTAATCGGATTAATTGAAAACAATGTTACAGCAACATCGAACGTGTCGAGTTACAAGCAAAGCTCGCGGCCGGCGCCCGCCAATGGCATCGAGTCTCTCATTCAAGCCTCCGTATTGGCTGAGGAAGAACAACCTGCTAATGAGACGTATGTATTATAATTATAGAACATTTTCTTTAACCATTGTGTCCCGTGCCTTATTTGTTTTTATGGTCTCATGACCATAAAAACAAATAAGTGATCGGAAAAAAGTGAGCTAATTTACCTAAACTTCAAGGACCAAAAACAAAAAGTGGAGACTTCCTTACTACAACATTTTTTTCGGGAAACTTTCCGGTTCCAGTTTCGGGATATTTATATGACAAAACGGATCTATGTAGCTTTACACTGAAAATGATAAAATAATAAAAAAATTGAAACTGCTTTTAAAAAACCGACTTTAAAAAACCAAAAACTAATAACAAACAAAAAATCAAAACTAAAAAGAAAAAAATAACTATCATTAGTACTGATTACAGTACAGCAGCTGTAGCCAAATGTCACTTAGCGCTTGTCTACATGTAGAATAGAAAACCAAATTATATGGAATTGACGTAAATCTTGACACTTGTCAGTGTCATCCCCATACATTTTGATTTCTACTCTCTCTGTAGACAAGCGCTAAAGTGGCGTTTGGCTAGAGGCCCTGGTTACCCACCCATAACTCCGTACTAATTAATGATAGTGATTTTTTTCTTTTTATTTGAAGTCGGTTTTTTAAACGCAGCTATTATTTTATTATTACTGTTTTGTTTTGATTTCCGTTGATTAAAGAGACGAGCCCATTATCATACAGAGACGATAACCTGCAGATTTTCATGCTATTTCTAAAAAATGTTATTTTTACCGACTTCAAAAAAGGAGGAGGATGTCAGGACGTTTTTTTTTTTCACCGATTACTCCGTCGTTTGTCAACCGATTTCCAAAATTCTTGTTTTGTTTGAAGGGTTTATTACTCCAGAAAGGGAAAGATCCCATATCTGTCGTGTCTCTCGTATCGGTCATTACTATTGTATGTCGTGTTGTCGTGCCTACCCCGTTTGTCCTATCTGTCGTGTTTGTCGGTCGTGTCGTTCGGATCGTTAGTATTTATCGTATCTGTCGTGTCGATCATATTCGTCGTATCGGTCTTGTTTGTCGTGTCTCTCATATCGGTCATTACTGTTGTATGTCGTATCTGTCGTATTTGTCGTGTCGGTCGTATATGTCGTGTCGGTCGTATCTGTCGTATTTGTCGTGTTGGTCGTATTTGTCGTGTCGGTCGTAGTTGTCGTATCTGTCGTATTTGTCGTTTCGGTCGTATTTGTCGTGTCGGTCGTATTTGTCGTGTCGGTCGTATTTGTCGTGTCGGTCGTAGTTGTCGTGTCGGTCGTATTTGTCGTGTCGGTCGTAGTTGTCGCATCTGTCGTTTCGGTCGTATTTGTCGTGTCGGTTGTATTTGTCGTGATTGTCGTATTTGTCGTATCTGTCGTGTCGGTCATGTTTGTCGTGCCGGTCGTATCTGTTGTGTCGGTCGTGTTTGTCGTATCTGTCGCATTTGTCTTATCTGTCGTATTTGTCGTATCCGTCGTATTTATCGTCTATCGCATTTGTCTTATCTGTCGTATTTGTCGTGTCGGTCGTGTTTGTCATATCCGTCGTATTTGTCGTATCTGTCGCGTTTGTCGTGTTAATCGCATATGTCGTGTTAATCGCATATGTCGTGTCGGTCGTGTTTGTCGTATATGTCGTATTAAACAAAAAGTCAAAACTAAAATGAACTATTATTAGTACTGATAGGTTACCACCCACTGATAGGTTAGAAGGCGGTGCCTATTAAGTACTTTATTTTATAAAGTACCGTACCATAAACCGCTTAAGGAGTTCTTTCGACGGTCTGTCGGCTCCATCATCGGGTCGACTCCAGACCCTTATCAAATTGTAGTGTTTAAAAATCCTAATTGAAAAACATAATAGGCGCATTACTCGCCCCTAGAATTTTCGAAAGTTCCCCTCGGTTTCCTTAGGATCCCATCATCAGATCGTGACCTCATGGAAATGGGACCATCTTGGAAGTATACCCTTTCAAACAAAACAAGAATTTTGGAGGTCGGTTCTCAAATGGCGGAGTATAGCGCGAACTAACGAAAAAAAAAAACAATCAGCCGAACATAGTACCTCCTCCTTTTCTTGAAGTCGGTAATAAATGGCGTTATATGTTGAGTTGTCATTAAATCCAATATTTAGTATATTATATGAAGCAGTAAGAATCGTTAGTTACTTTAACGCACTATCTCCGGAACTAGGTTTAAACTACGTAATTCAAGCCAGCTTTTGCTATAAAAAATTTTTTGTTTCCTAGTGAGCCAGAAGATGCAGCGGTAGCAGGGATGCTGAGCATCAGCTCTCGTTTCACAGCACCTCAGCGTACCTTCGGCCTGGCCAGTGACTCGCCTGTACCACGCCGCGCCAAGAAACCACCGCCTGAAGACGACCTGGCTGACGAAGAGGACGTCATCAAGGAAGTACATCGTGATGAGGAGTATGGTAAGTCCTCGACCACAGACATACGGGCAGACCGTGAATGAGGTTAGGGGGTCCAATTCCTCCCCTCCCCAATTTCCCCAAACAATAAATCCCTAACCCCCTCAACACGGATGGGACCCATTAGGGCTTATGCCGATACGGCAGGCGGGATAAGTCATTCGATGACTTTCCCACCTTAAAGCTCTCCCCTCCTTCCCCTTCAAAAGGCTGGGCATGCACCTGTAACTCGTCTGGTGTTGCAGGTGTCCAACTGTCAATTGGCGGCGCTGTTTGCTTGCCACCAGGTGATCCGTCTGCTGGTTTGTCGACCTATCGGCTATCCCATAAAAAAGATATATCACCTGAGTGCTTATTGCGAGTTTGTTTTACGTAAATGCGATCGAAACGATAACGCGCTTAGCCTTATTGGTTGTTGAACCTGGCCCATCAGAACGCCGAATGTAAACGTCATCGACCGCTTTTATGTAAAATGAACTTATTTTTTTACATCCCTGTATTTATATTCTGTATTTGTTTCAGTGTATCCATCGTTAGAAATGAGTTCAGACGAGGACGAGGAGTGGACGGCCTCGAAGCGACGGAGAAATTCGAGGAACAGGGTAGATTCGAAGTCAAAAGGAGAAAAGTAAGTTATTTGTTTAATGAAATGTAAAAAAAAAAACCCTCGCAGTGATGACAGCAATCTCAATGCAATGCCAGCGAGCCCAGCTCTCGGTTGCGACAGTCGTTGCTGCCATTCCGCCATGAGATCGCGCCGGAGCTTTTCCCGCCACGCACTTATCTGGTGCGGCAGCGGAGTTTCGCCCCGGCGACGTGCCTTTGCGCAAAAAAAAAAATATTTCAATGGTGATACCTACCGCGTGGCGTCGAGCTGCGTTGAGCGGCGATGGGATGCGTTCATTGACGTCACATGACGTTTTCCAATATCGTTACGTCTTATTTCATTGCGTTTCAGTGTCAGTTGTCTTGTGAACATGAAACTACATTGCGCAGCAGTAAAAGCACGTTGTACGACGTCAAGGATTTTCTTCAGAGGCGTAGTCGACTCTGACGTAGCGTTGTGACTGCGCTGTAACCCTTCAATCTTTGTACCGGGTGTTCTGAAACCTACCTAGTGATAGACTTTATGTTTGTTGTGATCGCCCTGTAACAGTGAGTAATGTGGTGCAGGGACGAGGCGTGGTCCCCGCGCGGCGCGCCGCGCTGCACGCCGCCGCGCACCGCCACGACGCGCCGCACGCACAGGTACACGCTCTACGTACTGGACGTACTGTACGTACTGTACGTACTGTACGTACTGTACGTACAGTACCTGTAAATAAAGGATAGGGATAAACGACTCTTTTTTATTTTAATGTTCACCTAATAGTTTATTTTAAAACATTACACATGTATTTTCTTACGATATTCATATGAAATATCGCGTGAAGTCACTTCTAGGTACGTTTTATACTTGGAACTAAATTGAAGATCTGAGTATATTTTTTTTTTAATTCTCAGTCGTAGCACGGAGTCTGGAATTGTGCCCAGTATATGGCAATAGGCTCACCCCCTATTACATGGGACTCATAACATAAATAGTGAAAAGCGGGTGTTACATTGTACAGTGGCATAATGTGCGCCTCTGCCTACCCCTTCGGGGATAAAAAGCGTGATGTTATGTTATGTTATAAAAAACGTGTCTAATATTTTTTCATTGGCTAACTGACGGACTAAATCAATTTTAATTTTATGCCCAGTCATCATCTCTATTAAAAAACAATTACACCATCTTACCTAATTACAACTACAAGCAAGACATAGGCAACATTCAACAGTATAGGATATCTAAAAAATCTTCGATATTTAACACTCGAGTGTTATAAAATGTGTTATTGTTACAGCCAAATGCAAAGCGAGCAGTGATAGCAACAAAGAGCAAACGGCCTCCCCCGCCTGTACACAATACGCCAAATAATAAAAGTAAGTAATCATTCATTTTCATTATCTATGTGTCATGTATGTATGTCAAATTGTATGTTTGTAAACGCACCCACGACATAGGAGAAAATTCCAATGTGAGGCAACGTTTGAATTAAAAAAATATCATTCAAAACAATATTATTCAAGTCACACAACATGAAATAGTTAATAAATCGCAGTAAGGAACCTTAGACTTTGCACGACTCTGTCTAGATTTCATTACTTTTTAGAGATGAACGAGCAGCTCCACCAAATCTTAGTTAGTTTTTTACAAAATATTTTTGGTTAAATTTTTTTAAATCTATTAAATTAAAACTCTTAAACTATACTAAAATAAAATATTTAGGACTTAAAATATAGACTAGCGTAATAATATATTTTCTACCAATTTCGAGCGACATCGGGACTCATAATCATATGATAGGCAATCATTAACTTGCCTTCAACTCTTTCTCAGTTCAGTTGTAATAAAACAAATCTTTATTTCCAGATGCAAGACTGAAGAAAGGTATGAAGACAGCAAAGCAGCGTCTCGGTAAAATCCTTAAAATACACAAAATGATATATTAATTATAACTAATTAGTTTATTAGATTACGCGTGACAGACGGACGTAAGTAGATGTATATTTTATATATGTATTGTATATAAGCACGGACCAATACGTGTCGTGGTCGAATGATGACTATGGATCTTATTAAGCGATTTAAGAAGAAAAATATTGCATTATTTATATATTTAGCTAATAATAATCAAAGAAAGTTTTCGTCTTTCTGAGCTTCTGTGCTTAGAGGAAGAAAGCCTAATTTAACAAATATTGGGTACCGCCCGACCCCAATCTCCCCAAACCCCGAATATCCTACAATCCTCAAATTCCTAACACCCAAAAGGCGGGTAATGCACTTGTAACGCCTCTAGTGTCCCAAGTGTCCATGGGCGACGCCGATTGCTTACCATCAGGTGATACGTCTGCTCATTTACTGGCTTATCCCAAAACACATAATAAAACAATTTAAAAAAATTAAAATAATAGACAATCTTAATAAAACAGTGCAATTTATTGAATTCAAACTCAAAATGATATAAATAGTGCAATGTTCTTATAAACTGTAGTTATATACCAGGTGGAAACAAATTAAAATATTTTGATTTCAAAGTAGGTAGCTCTGTGCAGTACGGTTTCTAAAACTGAACTGTTTGCCTAGAATCCTAGAATGTCCAATTTTATACCTAAGGTAATCGATAGCGTAGTTAATACCCGTTGAAATCAAGATATAGGAACATAATATCTAAGTTTTTATTTAAAAAGGTAATGGTTAAAAGTAATGAAAATAGGTCCCATGAAAACTGAACGCACAAAGGCATCTAAATTTTGTACTAATAATCGATTTTTATAGTCGTTACTGTATTAATATGAACATTTTGTCGCTATGTATAGAAATGTACACTTGTACAGCTTCATACTAATAAAATATACCCTAAAAATAAAATCTAAAGTCCACAAAAAATATGTTGACCACATTCAAAAGATCTTCTATCTTTCATCAAACACTAGCTGGAAAGAGTAGTCTAAGTTACTCCTTAATACATCTGCTACCTGCCAATAAAAATCTCGTCAAAACCGGGTCAGCCATTTCAGAGATTAGCCAGAACAGAGAGAAAGACAAACAGTTAAACATAATTATGTTATTATGGTATATGTATCGTACGCCATATTTCATTTTATTTCATGTGTATATTCATATGCATGTAGTAAAAAGCGATTGTTTCAATATTACAAACAGACAGGCTTGACCATTTTTGAGCCAAATGTTACTAGGTTCTCTATTACGGGGTTTTACTCGTACTATGAAATTCAATATTGTCCCTCCTTTTTGTGGTGGATTCTTAGAAAAAGTAACCTTCTGTACTTTGACTAAAATATATATAGTCCGATAAGTAGGAAGATAAATATGGGGGTCATCTGGAAACCACCAAATTACTGAACTAATATTATAAGTGTAAAATGTAACCTCTATTCGATAGATTTTATATTACTTACTTAACCGATCTAGAATCATGCCTTTAGGCTTAAATTACTCTGTCTCCTGCAGTAATTCAACGAGGGAAGTGGAAACTATTGTCTTTTTTTTCTTCTCTTATAATATCTTCTGATTCACTGCGTTGCGGGAACCAAGACTGTTATTCATATCCCTGGGACGCGCCGGACTTCAGTGTTCCGGTGTTTTCATGGTTGTATCTACTGTTGATCCTGGCTTACAGGAGTTGCAGCGGTTTTGGGAGGTTGTGGCGGACTTGTCCCATTAAAAAATCCGATCTAGAATGTGGCCAATATTTTAATCTGTGGACCGTGATCAAATATTGTAAATACAAGGGCATAAACGCTATCACTTTTTGACCTCTTTGCAGTGACAGCGTTCAGAGGGCTAAGTACAAGTTTTACATTTATTAGTAATTGAACCGAGACCGCGTTCTACGCTCTTATTGGTTGGTTCATTGGAGCTGGCCAATCAGAGCGCTGAACGCGTTAACCCTCAGGTTTATTAGAAAACGCTGCAGCCCAGTCCCTGTCAAATGTGTAGTTCCTTACTTACAAAAATCTGTGGATTAATATGGGAGGCAATAGAAAACACTTTATGTCTCGTGTATCTATGCTCCAAGTGAAGATCAATTTTTGACAATAGTCTGCCAAAAATTAATTGTAATCATACAGATTTTATGTAGATTGAGATAGGATTTAGTTGGCTTTTCCAACAACTTTGTTTTTGTTTGGACGAGTATGGGCGGTGGACGAGTATGGGCGGTGTATTTTATACTGCTATCACGAACTTATTAAACCGCGTTCATCCCCGTGTATCTACATTCTTTGGAAAATATGTAATGCGAAAGTTAAATTAGATATAATGACGTTTTCTTTTTTATTAGTATTTTTCCACCTGATATATTAACAAACATCTTGATTCAGAATAACCAGTGATGAGCTCCTTGAATATCTGAGTCGCGTACACACTGATAAATAATTATGCTACACCATATTTATTTATTTGCTAATTTATATCCTGTGTACCTAAGTTGAAAAGGCATCGATGTAAAAAACTAAAAAAAATACGCCCTACCTACTTCGTACTGGTTTAAAATTCACTTATTATTTATGACAAGTCTCAATAATAGCTTATATAAAATGTTCATTATAGTGGAGTACTACCATAACTCTTTATTCAGATTCAGATTCAGATTCAGATTCATTTATTCATTGTAAAACATAGGTACATTATAAGTTCTTATGTAATATGTTGAGAGCGCTATGTTTTGCCTCTAGGGCGTACAATACATGCAATATACTTAATAAAAAAACAAGGATTTGACACAGATTCATAAACAATAAACAGTAAACACATCACTACAATTACACAATTTTGACCATTTATCTCGTTAAGAATTTGCAATTTCATTGAACATTGACGACTCTTTAAATCAAATTAATAAAATAATGTAAACCACAAAATATCCGCTTTGAAGAACATTAGAGATTTTCAATAATGGCATAAATTAAAATTAAATGTCAAAAATAATAATATCAAAATGTTAAAAATGTAAAATTCAATGTCAAAGCGTAAAATTAAAAGTCAAGATGTCAAACTTCAATGTCAAAGCGTTTAATTAAATGTAATAATATGAATTAATAAAATTATTGAATTTAATCAAATAGTCATCCAAAATTAAAATAGTCATCAAGTCAACATTAATAATAATAATTTATAAAATTACAGAATATAATCAAATAGTATTATCATTAAAATAGTCATCCAAGGCATAATAACATTTCTCAACTAATAACTTGTGAAGACACTTTTTGAATTTCTTTAATGGCATACATTTTATAGCATCGGGTATTTTATTAAAAATTTTTGGTGCTACACCAAAAAAGCTCTTTTTCATTAACGCAGTATTACATTTCAACGTACATAGTTGATTTTCATATTGACTCCGAACTCAAGGTGTACAATTTTGATAATATACAAAACAATGACAGCAATCGAGATGGAATAATAAATTGGAATAATAATTATTACAAAATTTTGTTGACATTAATTTCAGCAACTAGCTTCACTGACAGACTAAATGACAATTCTATTTTGACATTCTAGAATTAAAATAATTTGACTTTTAAATTATTTAGGACAAATGTCCTCAATTTAATTATTACTTTCTCATCTTCCTCTATTCCACGACACTTAGAAAATTAAGTATGAAATGGGTGTCAAAGAATAGAAAGGGTTCCCTTCCCTACCCCCCTGTAGGTAATTTTTATCAGTATGTACTCGGCTCCATACATGCGAACACAGGTTAAAAATGTGATTTTATATTTTATAACAATAGAGTTAAAGCGTATTTTTCTCAATCAATAGGCTTGGGATTGATATCACATTGTATTTTTTAGATAGATGGGAAATTCTTATGGTAATTTTGATACGATTGTGTTTGGCTCGTCATGAACTTTGAAATTAGGGTTATTAGACTCAAGTGTTTAAATTTTTTGCTAGGCTTAGCTTGCTGACAACGATCATGAGTTTATTCGTCAAGAATATTATGCCACGGGTAATATATGGACCTCTGCCTGTCCCTTTTGGGTTTAAGTAATGTTCTACATAAGTAGACTTATTAACACACTAATGATAATATCAAAAAAAATCGTATCAAAATTATCAAAAAGAAGGTCCATCTTTCTACCTTTTGTTTAAGATCTGATTTAGAAGTTGTTTGTCTATTTTTTGTCTATTACTAATTGTCTGACTTCTCGAAGTGTTCTAGTAATTGTTTATTCTTTTCTAAAATATTCTATTAATACTCGACATTTTGATTTTTGTTTTAAAATATAACACAACTTGAAAATTATCGAATTATAAAATACATTAGAAAATTTATTAAAAAAAAGACATTATTTTTCATTAAAAATATTTATGTAAAAACAACCACCGAATATTAAATGTATATAAAAATGAATTGAAAAATGAACGTAAAAAAAGTATAAAAAAGAAAAAATATTGCTTTAGCTACTTATGGACATTTTTTTGTTATTGTTTTTTAGTGATAATAGTACATAAGATCGTGTTTTCCATGTTATTTTGTTGTATCAGAAGTTAATAAGGGCGCAAAATTAAATTATATTTCTATTATAACAAGTGCAATAAAATTATACTGAAGTTAAACTTTCATTCGTGTTCTGTTATAATTTCTTTTAAATGCAATAAAAATTAAAATGTTTAAAAAACAAAATTATATCGACTATGTTTTTTAGTTTCAAAAACTATTAATTGTTTATGTGTTTAGGCTACAAATACCCTTCGCATTTTTTATGATGCAATATTATAATAAAATAGGTACTATATACTACGTAATTAAGCATTATTTTCAAAATTATACAGGATAATATGGATTACCATATACCTCGTTTTGTCTCTTAGATATATTATTAAAAAAAGGTTTCATAAATAGTAATATAATTATATTTTAAATTGACACATAATTTTATTGCACAATAAAAATAAATTTTGCGTCTGTATTAAATCGCTTTGTTCTCATTTGCAAAAAAAAACAGGGTGTGTCTTTCATATAATATTTTATATTTCGTAGAAGTGCCGCGTTCGTGTGAGACGTCCATATTTTTTTCAATGTTTCTCGTTTTTATGTAACGTATAATAAAACATTATTATTTAAATATAATTTAAAATCCATTGTAGTATTAGTATAATCTACTATGATTTCCGTATGAATCGTAAATTGTACCTTTTTTACAATTATGTTAGTAACTAGCTTCTGCCCGCGACTTCGTACGCGCAATCCATTTTCTTCTGACGATAACAAACAACAAAAATTGAGTTTTCGATCTTATACCAATACGATAAACTTAAAAATGTATGACAAAGTTTGGCAGAAAATGATAGATTGAACTGCTGGCGACCGTAAAGTGGAACTTATATCATAAATAGAAAACTAGGGATTTAGTCATATGTAAACGTACGCCTCTAAAGTTATTGTGAAGATTTTTTATCAATGATTACCCATAATTTATTATATGTTACACAAAAACTTGATTATTTTCTCTCTGTATCAATGGCCGGGTATTTATAGGCTATGAGTGTTAATGTCAATGTTGCCCGGCCATTTTAGTTTATAGTTCTACGCACTATGATCTTTTAAAATTTACACCACATATATCAGCCATTTTTTATGGAATTTGCAATCGATTTTAAAAGGTCAAACGTGCACGTTTCTAAAATTTTTTACGTATAATGCACTCTACAGTCATGGTAATAAGATTTCTCATTCATTATAAGCGAATGTCTTTTTTTTATTCACGAAATTATCTTTCGAAAGTGAACGGTACTTGGGTTGGTTCAGTGAACGATAATATCCGTTTGTTCATTCATCATTCGCCAAACTACTTATTTTTTTCATCATTCATTATTTTTTCATTGTCCTGCCAGCCCAATATCGTTCTTATTTGCTTTGTGTTAAGTTCTTTTTCACCAAAGTTTTTAGTTCATTAAGAGAAGACGTCTTTCAAAGGTCGAGTTATCTTCATACATCACATTCAATTCGACCTCGGCTTTTGAAAAACGTATTTTATTTCTCTTGGTAATGAGATTTAATTGTTTAACCATCTATATATTGTTTAAAAAAAGTATTTGTTTATAATGAACGAAGGTAAAAAGTATAATTTACTGTAACTTGACGTTTATTAACTTATTAAGATGTTTTTTCTGTAGGAGCACATTAGATGTAAACAGAAGCGCCTTTATGGTATAACATAGTGTCTATTGTATATTAGGGGAGAGGATCACGTAGCTGGGTTTTCTATATACAAAATAATATATAGTTTTTATATGAAATAATAACGCAGATTTGATATACGTTCCATAAACCAAAGTTATAGAATAAGCAAAATACTCAAATCAAATGATTATATCGACCAATCACAGCATTTCGAACTCGTTGACGGTTATTTTCAAATTTATATTATGGAGTACATACTCGGAGTGTTGTGATTGGTAAATGTATCAACTAATTGGAGCGCTTCTTACTACATGTATGTATATTTTTTTTATTATATATTTTTGTATTATTATAGAGAACCAAGCTATGTAGTGTATGAGCGATTGATATATACATATAGTATAAAAGATATATTGTAAATTATGAATAACAGTGAATGTATATTGTTGTGGCAGAGGAAACAGTTCTCTAGACGAAACACATCTACTCGTTTTATTTATATCCCCTTAAAACATATTATAGAACATATATAAAACATATTTACTCAACGTTGGCTCGCATATAAAGAATGCGAACAGAAATAATAATCAAAATTGGAACTAATACTAAAATACAGTAGCTTTCACCAGCCTCTCCTTAATTGTAGGGAACGTCTAAGATAAGTGGCATTAATGACATTTTACCTATCTATAAGTGACACCTAACTAAGTAACTTATAGTAAGTTATGAATATGTCGGATACGACTGGTTATAAGATAATTTACATCGACGCAGTAAAGTCCGCGACTTACATAATAATATTATCTTCTCGATCGTTTGCTTCATTTCTGAAAGTCTGTCATTGCTATCTGTTATTTTCTCAATCTTGTCCTGATTTCGAATTCTTTCAGAGCATCAGTAACAGAGATTTCAATGTGATTGGTAACTTGGTTACTCCATCGGCATCGGCTAGGTGATCGGCCAATATTATATCGACCACAATTTTATGAAAACAAGTGCTATATAAAAATTAAACATTTTAGTAAAAATAGGTACTTTAGTTTTAGGTCAAAAGTCAACATGTTTTACGTATGCACAGGTACCTAATTAGGACCAACTAAACAATAATTTTGTTGATGCACATATTTGATAAATTAGCCAACTCAACTGCTATATAGGTATAACTTTTTGTTTGATCAGCAAAATACAATATTCATTCCAATATATTGTGTAATTTTTACTGTACAGAACTTAAGTTTACAGCCATTTAACTGTTTTAAAGTTATTAAAAAGTAATAAAACGAATATCAAAAATACTTATTAGAGAAATAATAATATTATAGAGTGACTGAACACAATATGAACTTAACAAAAATCATTTTAATACTACAACTTTATACCATAACTTACTGTGCAAATGACACTATAAATAAAATAAAATATAACAATAATGTACGACCAAGATGTATAGATTTTAGCAAACCAAGTTTTTTTGAGAGAACAGTGAAGAATTTTGGAAACAATAGTGATAGAATGAAACCACTGAATGTAACTAAGTGTTCTACGAAAAAAAGTAGTGAATATGTTCAAAGGCATATACTGAATGGATTGATCGTTCATCCTAATTTACCTGATTGGCATTGGCACCAGTATAAGGTAAGAGGTTTAATTTTTCTTTCATATTCATCAATATTAACCACCTGTCACAATTATTTTGTTCCTAATTGTACCAGACAGATAGATCACCTGATGGTAAGCAATCGGCGCCGTCCGTGACATGTACACCTTGTTTGGAGGAGTTACAAGTGCGCTGGCCTTTTGGGGGTTAGATATTTGGGAACTGGAGAGGTGAGGAAATATACTTTCCTCCTCTACATAAATATGTGGGTTAGACGTTCGACGTTCGAATTTCTATTTCGCGAGACGATCTTCGGCCACCGTAAGCACGGGCCTACGGACGGGGAGCTTAGGTAGCTCGCCGCCCTACCAGAACCAGACCCGAGCGTACTGTGCGTCGCGGTGCGTGCGCGCCTCAAAAAGCCAACAGACCACGGATGGGGCCCAATAGGGCTGATGCCGATACGGAGCCGCGGAGAACGTAATAGGTTACCGTGGCACCGGCTCGAAGTGCTCGAACCGAGTGGTTTTTAGTTAGCAAGAGTCTACCTCAACCAGGCGGGCGAAGTCATTCAATGATATTCCCCCCCTAAAAAAATACATTAATTTCTGTGCCTGACAGGTGGGTAACAGATCCTAGTTAAAAAGATTAAGGCTTATCAGGCGCTGCGACAGGCTATGACATGGGACTCGTAACATAAATAGTGAAAAGTGGGTGTTACATTGTGCAGCGACATTAAAGAGTATCACAGAAATATTAAAAAAGTATAGTAAGTAAAGGGGAAAGCGGCATTGAGTGCCGTAATGTGCACCTCTGCCTACACCTTTGGGGATGAATGGCGTGATGTTATGGTAATCCCTCTGATGTAGAAGTGGCCCATAGTCCAATAGTGGACTGTTATGGGCTATTTAAATTGCTATCGATATTAATTACAGACATTATTTTCAGTCGGTCCATAAAAAGGCGTATGCGACACCTCATCATGAATTAGAGGCTCTAACGAAATGGCGTGACAATCTATACTTAGTAGCTCAACACAACCGTGACTTTTCACTGGGAAAACAGTCATATTCTCTACATCTTAACTTATTTGGAGATCTGGTAATTATAATTTTATAACTAACTTTTATTAAGTTAATAGTTTTTCTATAATAGGTAACTATTGTAAGATATCGACTGCACGGTTGGTCAAAGTCAAAGTCAAAATCATTACCAACGGCAAATACCAATGTGACTTTTTCCGAGTTATATGTACTTTCAAAGATTATTCAGACACCACTGACAAACGGTGAAGGAAAACATCGTGAGGAAACCTGGGCATATAATTTTTAATTATAAGTTTGTTATCGCCAACCCGCATTGAGCAAGCGTGGTGATTAATGCTCAAACCTTCTCCGTGTGGGAAGAGGCTTTGCTCAGCAGTGGACATTTATAGGCTGTTGGTGATGATGAAAGTAAAGCTCGGTGGTAGAGCATTTCTGCCTCATTTATGTGTTATGTAAACTGTTATTTTCAATTGAAAAGATTGGTTATGGAAATCGGGAGTAAGTAAAGGGTACCATGGAATATTAATGGAATCCTATCCCTTCTTACCACCGTAATGTGACGATTAGTTGACTACTCCACCTAATAATCACAAATATAACTTATACATACCTTCCTCCATCGTCGGTTAAATACCTATTTACGTACAGTTAGCCAAATTATTAGGTACATACCTCTATATCTGTTAGTTAATAAATATTGACTCGGTACAGAGAGTTAATCTCTCTCCCTTGATTGGTTAATGAACCGGCCCATGCAAAAATATTACTAAAAAATTTGAATGCACGGTCGGTGTGGTAGCTGGTCAAAAGGCTGCCACGTAACGTGTAGCGGGTTCGATTCCCTCACGGAACAACTTTTAGGGTGATCCATATATTGTTGTTTCGGGTCTGGGTGTCATTGTGTATGTGAACTTGTATCGTAAACACCCACGACACAGGAGAAAAAACTAGTGGGTCAATGTTTTTTTTTAAACAAAAACTTTGACATTGATTATTGAACTTTTAGAGAAAATAAAATTTAGAATAATAATAGCTACTCGCTCTCTAATGAATCGATATTTATTTTCTTAGCTATTCTATACAGGCTGTAGGTAAATGGAACTCCCCCGAAAACGTTGTCAAAAAAATACTTTTTTATAATTTTAATCGTTTTTCTTTACGTGTAATTCATGCAACATCAGCCTTGAGCGGTTGATTCCAACTATTATTACATACAAGAAACATTTAATTCTTTACTATTCTGAAAATAAATCATTTTTACGATCAAATCTTCAAATCTTGTTTTTCAGTTCCTGGCGTTTCATTTACATCCGTTCATCATCATCATCATCATCGACAGCCTATTAATGCCCACTGCTGAGCAAAGCCTCTTCTCACGCGGAGAAGGTTAGAGCGTTAATCACCACGCTTGCTCAATGCGGGTTGGCGATTTCAAACTTATAATTAGAAATTATAAGTCCAGGTTTCCTCACGATGTTTTTCCTTCACCGTTTGTCAGTGGTGTCTAAATAATCTTAGAAAGTACATAGAACTCGGAAAAAGTCCCATTGGTACTTGCCGTTGGTAGGTTTCGAACCCGCACCCTCATGCATGAGAAGTGGGCGTCTTAAACCTCCGTTATAGGTACTAAATAATTTGGCGGACTGTACATCCACATTATAATTACAAACATTACACTCTGTATTAATGGGACACATTATCACATAATCTCAGCTAATAAACGTTTGACGTAGGTAGACGGTAGGTATATGATGATGGTAAACATTGTGATGAAACCCATCGCCATTTTCACCAACCACCTAAATCCTAAAATGTATTAGGTATTTAGCATGACGTTTTTTTTATTCTTTATTTTTGTTGGGTTTTATATTTTATTGGAATAGAAAAAATAAAGTATTTACAAGAAAAAAAAGTATGTTTCAATTCTTAATTCAATTTCGGAATTACTCGTAATTTTTAGGTATTAATTTTTACTTTATAGTTTCTTTAATTACCTAAACAAAAACGTCGAACAATTTTCACAGAATTTCGTCGATAGTGATTGACATCTGTGATAATTATTGACTGACTGGTCGCAATTGTAAGTCATAATCTTTTTTAACTTATAAACACCTCGATGATTGACTCCTCGATGACTGCCTCGATGGCCGAGTGGTCGCAAGTGCGACTGCCAGGCAAGGGGTCTCGAGTTCGATTCCCGGGTCGGACAAAGAAATAAAGGGTTTAATAAAAAATCTCAGTAGTAGCACGGAGCCTGGAAATGTGCCGGGTATATGGCAATAGGCTCACCCCCTATTTCATGGGACTCATAACATAAAAATGAAAAGTGATTGTTACCTCTGTGTGCACCTCTACCCCTTCGGGGATGAAAAGGCGTGATGTTTTTATATATGTTAACAAATATTTTAGGATGTAAAGGAGTATTTCGACAAATTCTTGAAGTTATTTCGCACGATCCCGCTCTTCGATCCTGCAGAAGACAGGCACAAGACTGCATACCGCAACAGTTTGCATAATGCTGTACCTAAATCCGTAAGTACTTAAATTTAAAACCTAGCTTTCCGCCTACGCCACCGGTTTAAACTAATAAATTAAACACCTAAACCTTGCATACTCAGGAATCAAATCCGTGATTTCTTTTTCTAAGATCCCCACTTCCTTGCCCATTCGCACGACAGCTTCGTCGCGTTAATACTGGGCGTTGACAATTATCTACTTATGCTTTTTTTGAGGGGGGAACATCATCCAATGTAACAATAGGTTAGTTTCCTAAATTTTATTTTAATGTCCGTCTGGTACATTAATTTAAAACTTTAAACACGTATTTTTTCTTTTCTCACCAAATTAAATACTTTCGACGATATATTAATATGAAATATCGTGTGACGTCACAGCGTGCCACATTTTATAGCACGTTATGACGTAACAACCTCCCACTCCTAAACTTAACGTAATTTCATCTAAGTATTGCAACTTAATACGAGCAAATAAAAAAATACGTGTCTAATATTTTTTCATTATCTAAGTGACGGACTTATTAGATTATTAATTTTGATACCCTGGAAACTACCCAATTATCTATGCTTAGCGAGCAGGTGCATTTACGTTTGTTCTATTGTGAAGTCTTTTTAACGCGGTCTAAAATTCTCGTGCTAATGGGGTCTTAAACTGTCAAACACCAAGCGGTCACCGGTGACCGCAACCTATTGTTCTATAATTGTGTCTATAATGACGGTACTCGACGAGTTAATTGATGTTCACAGTTTGATTGGCGAAGTAAAGGCTTCAAACCTAAATTGGAACAGCAACATGAGTGCGGCGCATGCTACGCATTTGCTGTTGCCCACGCGTTGCAAGCCCAGCTCTATAGGCGGCACGGGTTTTGGGGAGAACTTAGGTAAAATATGACACACATACTATCCTTACTAATATTATAAATTGGAAAGTGAGTTTGTTTGTTTGTTCCGCTTTCACGCGGTAACTACTTAACCGATTGCTTTGAATTTTTGCAGACATAAAGTTAGAAGTCTGGATTAAATCATAGGGTACTTTTTATCCCGGAAAAATTGATATTCCCGACTTCCCGAGGGAAAACAAAAGTATTGGTATAGATGACGCTGTGTGTATTGGTATATTTATATGCACAGAACATATATATATGTCACATAGGCTACTTTTTATCCTTTTGTGACGCGAGCGAAACCGCGGGTAAAAGCTAGTAGTTAAATAAATTGTATCTTTCACATGCGTGTTCGATTAGAATATACATTTATATTTATTTAAATATGCGATTATACTCATAACTTGTGGTGTTCGTAACATTTAAAGCGTTCAATCAAAATGTTTATTTTTTTTAATTAACCATTTTTTACCTACAATTTGACGAATTTCGAAAAAAATATAGAACAAAAGCTGTTGCACCTAGTGATGTCTACTAGTACCTAATACGGTCCTGCAGGGCCTTCTTATAAATATCCCTGTGTAAAGACAATATACTTGAATATATCTATGTTTTTACAATAACTACTATCGTGAGACATTAACCTACTATGTTAAATAAAATCGCGGGTATACTGAACAAAAAACTCTACAAGTTGTACTCCCGGCGTTGAGTAGGCTATACGACCCGACCGCAACCGCGCACGCTTCTCATGAGGAAGAGCCTCTCTATGGCTCGAAACTAGTAGAGCTTCTCTCAGTATATTCACGTGAGTAACCCGCGATTTAGTTAATTGACAATACACAGACCTACCTACTTACATACTCTTCTAAATGTATGATTTAACTTATGAAACTCTTCGACAGTCCTCAGCAGATAATAGACTGTAGCTCCAAGGATGGTAACGCTGGTTGTGACGGGGGCTCCCTGCGCGGTGCGCTCCGGTATGCCGCTAGAGAGGGTCTGATCACAGAGTCACAATACCCGTATGTTGGGAAGGTAAGAAGCAAAACCAAGGAAAGTAACAAAATAACATTATGTCAGTACATACCTCTTGATATTAAATGACATTTTGTACAGTATTTTTTAAGAAATGAAAGCAATATCATTTCTTAACCTCATATTATTTCTTTCAACTTTCGTACGGCAATTGAACCTACGCAACTTCCCCACGACTCGTTGAACAGAGTCAAATACTTTTAATACTAACGATTTCCTTATGAGCTTAGAAATTATGTCTCACTAAAAATCTGTAGCAATGGACTGTACCAAAGATTTTACAAACACCGAGCTCTGATAAACCTGCGCCTTAGAAACAGCGACACCCGATCCGCGACAAGTGCAAAGATAAATGGATAACCCCTCTTCGGTAGAGAAGGTTTATAGTCCAGCGATGGACTGACAGGCTGATATCGATTCGAATAAAGAATTATCCAATCATTTTAATGTCTTCTACCTGGTTGCGGAAGTGGTCGCAAGTGCCACTGCCGGGTAAGGAGTCTGGGATTCGATTCCCAGGTCGGAAAAAGTATTACTAGGTTTTTTTTAAATCTCAGTAGTAGCACGGAGTCTGAAAATGAGTCCGGTATATGGCAATAGGCTCACTCCCTATTACATGGGACTCATAACATAAATAGTGAAAAATGGGTGTTACATTGTAAGTACAGTGGCATTAAGTGCCGTAATGTGCACCTCAGCGTACCCCTTCGGGGATCAAAGGCGTGATGTTATGTTATGTGTTTAATATCTTTTAGGACAGTACGTGTAAATACAATAAGTTCCTCGTAAGAGTCCGTGCTCGGAGATGGGCGACACTACCCTATGGAGATGAGGAGGCGGTGGAACGCGCCCTGGCTACTGTCGGACCTCTAGCCGTGGCTGTCAACGCTGCACCGTTTACCTTCCAACTTTACAGGTTAGTAGCAGTTTAAGAGGCAGAATGTTTATAATATTTTTGTGGAATAAGGTGAAAACCGAGCAGTCTATTACCTGATGGGCATATAACTGCCCAAAGACACTCGCAACACTAAAGGAATGACAGCCTTCGTGCCAGGCTACAGCATTAAGCTAATTGCTAGCCATATTTTGCACCCTTCTGCGAAGCAGTCATGCTAGCTAAGGAGAAGGCAGAGCGCTTGAGGGAACGAACCTCCTCACGCCCCGGCCGTCGCGAGAAACACTCCGAGCGTCGGGGATCGCGAGACGATCTCCGGCCACCATGGGCCTGCGGACGGCGAGCATGGGTGACTTGCCGCCCGACTAGAACCAGACCCGGGCGTACGGCGCGTCGCGTTCCTCGCGCGCCTCAAGGAACCATCAGACCACCATAGATGGTGCCCAACAGGGCCAATGCCGGAGCCGCGGAAGACTTAACGGGTTGCCGGGGCTTCAGCTCGAAATGCAGTAAGAGTGACACTCCCTTTCGCCTCACTCTGGCGGGAGAAGTCATTGGATGAAAAAATTATTCTAAATAAAATTTTTGAAAAAATTATTCTAAATCAAATGCAAAGATTTTTTAATAGAAATAAATTGTTACATAGTAACCAGTTTGGTTTTACCAGGGGTCGTTCAACAACTGATGCCGGTGTTGAACTTCTTAATCACATATATGACGCGTGGGAGGACTCAAGCGACGCTTTGGGCATTTTTTGTGACTTATCCAAGGCGTTCGATTGTGTCCTTCATGATACATTGATCAGGAAGCTATCCCATTATGGAATAAGAGGTAAATCTCTGGATCTTCTTACCTCATACTTGAGTAACAGGATTCAGAGAGTCGAAATAAACGGAAAAGTCTCCACCGGGTCTGTTGTCAGGATGGGGGTTCCGCAGGGGTCAATTCTCGGCCCATTTTTGTTTCTTATATATATAAATGACTTACCTTACCTTGTAAGGGATAACCACGGGATAGTACTGTTTGCGGATGATACTTCGTTATTATTTAAACTTAAACGTAGACAATTAGTTATTAATAATGTGAACAGTGCTCTCTCGGAGATAGTACGCTGGTTCAATGCCAACAACCTATTACTAAATGGAACTAAAACTAAATGCATTAAATTTACAACACCAAATGTTGGACATGTGAAAACCAGCGTGCTCATTAAGGGTGAGGAGTTGAGCCCTGTAGATTCTACTGTCTTTTTAGGTATAACCCTAGACGCTAAGCTCCAGTGGGCTCCACATATAAATAAGTTATCGAAAAGGCTCAGTTCTGCAGCATATGCCGTTAAAAAAATTAGAAATCTAACCGATGTAGATACAGCGCGATTAGTATACTTTAGTTATTTTCATAGTGTTATGTCATATGGTATTCTCTTATGGGGGAATGCTGCTGACATTCAATCTATCTTTGTTCTGCAGAAGAGGGCCATTCGATCAATTTATAATCTTAGTCCGAGGTACTCTCTCAGGGAACTATTTAAAGAAATTAATATAATGACGGTTGCTTCTCAATACATTTATGAAAATTTAGTATATGCTCATAAAAACAAAAGTTTATTTAAAAAACATAGTGATATACATAATATAAACACGAGAAATAAAGACAAATATGTTGTTCCCACTACTAGACTAAAGAAAATAAGTGGTTCGTTTAGATGTCAGAGTATACGCTTTTACAATAAGATTCCCAGCCATATCCAAAATTTGAGTCTAAATAAATTTAAAAATGTCATTAAAGATAAATTTTATAGTAAAGCTTATTATAAAATAAAAGACTACCTAGATGATAGTCTGGCTTGGGAATAAGCTGCTGTAACGTCCACACAGGTCATGTTGACATGTTTGTAACATATAGTTACATTTCTTTTTTTATATGCAATTTGACATTATTGTTTTAATGTGACATTGTTTTTCATATGTTGTTCTAACTTGACATTTACTTTTTATTTAACAATTGTTAGTGCTAGGACCGTGCGAGACTTTGCCTCACCATTTCTTTTCTAATTACCCTTTTTCTGACAGTTTGAGTATTTGTGCGACCCACGCAAATGTTCTTTAGGTTGGTATTGTTCGTCGAATCAGTCAGCCTCACCTGTTAATTGAGCTGACTGTAAACCGACACATGCGTACTGCCTTCAGAACGGGTCCGCTCAAACTGTTGTGGTTCTTTCCTCAAAAGCCCACTACAGAAAGAACTGGCACGGTTCTCACACATAATCTGTTATACATATTGTCTGGACTTTAAAAGAGACAGACCTCTGAGTTTGTTTCGGCATTTCTTCTCAGAGTAGTCAGTTAGGAAATGTCGACCTCATCGTTCGCTTGATAAAATTGACGTGTAAAAGTGCTGCCTTGTAGCCTATTTGCAGAAATAAATTCACTTGTTTCACTTGTTTCACTTGTTTCACTTGTTTCACTTGATGATTTTCCCCCCTCAAAAAAAAGCCATATTTTGCACCGTGGTGGTGTTTTTGTGTACCTCACAAATAATAACTGTTTTTCCTTCTTTATGTAAAGATGATGAAGTACAGTAAAATTAAAATAATGTATTATGTTTAAAGGCTTATTCACGTAACTGTTTGACGAGGAATTTGACTGGCTTCAAGCTACGAAAGGGACTCATAGGTAGCTACAGGCTACTTGTGTTTGCGCGCCCAGCCCACCGCAATTTCTACCTGTACCATCTATTTACTTTAATCTTACATTCCTTTTTTTTATTCATCCAGGAGCGGCATCTACGATGACCTATTCTGCACATCTTGGCAACTAAACCATGCGATGTTACTAGTGGGGTATACACCGGAGTATTGGATTCTTCTCAACTGGTGGGGCAAGAACTGGGGAGAGAACGGATATATGAGGTAAGAGAGGATGGAGACTTTTATCTTCCAACTGCTCCCAATCTCCAAAAGGTTAGCAACGCACTTGTTACTGTGGTAGTGTGGGTTACCATGGGTAGCGCTGATTGCCTACCATCAGGTAATCCGTCTGTGTGTGTGTGTCTGTGTATAAAATAACTTAGACAATACATAAAATGTTGTTCATTTCGAAACTGGAGTGGAATTGAATTCCGTCTTAAAATACACCTTTTATAAGTTTGGGCGAAATTTACAATTACTTTAGTAGATAATATTACGTCCCGCCGTGCACTGCACAAAGAGGCTCTAGGTAGACACATAGGTCTCCATAGAGAGGTGCCGTAACAGGCGTTGCACCGTGGGGTTCAGAGGCTGGTCTACTAAGAAGACCCGGTGCCTCCTTCAGGTGCGGATGGTGGCCAGTAGTCTTTTTCCCCAAAAAGCTGGCCCGTCACCATTTCACAGCTGTAGCCTGGTATATTCAAGTTGCATTCAGCTCGACCCTACACTACCCTACTATTAATAATGACGTAGATCATCATCTGTTTATTTCCAGGATCCGAAGAGGTTTGAACAGGTGTGGTGTCGCAAACTTGGCGACTTATGTGGAGTTATGAAGATGAAGAAATAAAAAAGAAATGAATTAAATACAAGTAAACCATATTTTAGTCTTTTTGCTATCCACTCGCAGTAAAATTCAACGCTTAAAGTCAAAATCCAAACGAAACCCATTCATTATTCCGAATAATAATTTTTAACTAACAACCGAAACAGAATTTGAACGTAAACTGAATTTTAACTAAAAATAAACTATTTTGTGAGTTCGTACTGAATAAGGCTAATTCAGCTGGTCGTTGGCTGAGTTAAAATCTTAATTCATTTATACCAGTTTTCTCTTTTCGCCCGCAATGGATGGCGAACTATTTGCCGCCTTCGTTTGAGCGTGGTGTCTAGTGCAATTTATAGGATGCAGCGATATTTGATATCAGCATCAGTAAGTGTTTTAGATGGGAAAGGAGCTTCTACTCACATCGTTGGTCGACGAAGTTACAAACAGCTGAGTAAGAGGCCTTAGCTTAGTACGCGGCTTGGGTTAAGTATTATTTAAGTTTTATTCGGATTTTCATTGAATAAAAATCCTTATTAGAGTACGATCCTTTCACCATAACGTGTAACATTTAAATAAAATAGTTGGGAAATCTGGAGCCTTTCAGGACACTCTGGTTCAATCCTCGGCCCGGATGTTTCATTTATATATTCTATTTTATGTTTTTTCCTATTTATTTTTTTGTATTCTGTTCAATTTGTTTTCTAAAAAATATATGTAGGTACTAAAAAAACACCGAGTGAAGCTTGGTTTTCCAGGGCCTTCCATTTAATAGTGCAGAGTTTAGAATTGTGCCTAGTGTATGGGAATAGGCTCACAGCCCATTACATGAAACTCGATAAAGTAATTGGAGAATTGGATGGATGGATGGATTTATTCCGTCACTAAATAATTCTTTACACGCTGAAGAGCAATTTTGCCGATTTTTCCAACACTAGATAAATTTTAACTGAGGAATAACTTAGAATATTAAACAATTCTTCTATACTAAAAACTGTCAAATGTCGATTTTATTCTACAATTATACATATATTAACTGATGATTGAAAAATCGGGGCTAAGTACCATTGTTTACTTTATTTAATAATCGATCAAAACTACATAACAACACGCCTATTATCCCCGAAAGGGTAGGCAGTGGTGCACATTACGGCCTTTAATGCCACTGAACAATGTCAAACCCACTTTTCACTATATAGAGGTATATTATGAGTCCCATGTAATAGGGGGTAAGCCTATTACCATATACCGGGAACAATTCAAGACTCCGTGCTACTACTTAGAATTTTTTTAAACCTAGAAACACATCGAAACTAAAGCTGAGAAATTATAGTTAAGTACATACCTATTTTTTTAAATTAATGACCCTATATGTAAATGTGTACGTATTTTAATTAAGGAGCAAAGAATTAAAATCTAAAGAAGATCCTAACAAAATAACGACAAAATATACCAGCCCCGCTACAGCTTATAACCAAAACCGCTACCTAACCTAATTGAGTGTAGTTGAGGAAGCGGTCAGAGAGGCACAAATGCGATTTATCTGTTCGCGAGTCACTCACTGCGGACCACTAACGTTCTCACTGTTGCGTTAGATATCTTTGCATTCGCAAACACATGGCGAAATACTCTAGTTCTGTTTTGTTCAATGCTTTATTTTAATAGACTGCCTCGTTTATTTTAATTGCCCGAGTGGTCGCAAATACGACGACTGGTAGGCGAATCATCGAATGACTGCTCCCGTCTGGGTCAGGCGGGAGGGAGTGTCAGACTCTTACTGACTAAAAACCTTCCCGTTCCTTCTCCTGCACGTCGAGCCGGAGCCCCGGTATTTGACTAGACTTGAAGTCGAAATGTTGTTCAAAATTAGCAAGCTCATTTCAGACATGTTTGCGAATCGATAGGCGTTCGATTTTTAAAACTTTTTGAGCATGCTGAATAGAACCACTTTTAGCATTATTTTTTAGATCATGTTTAACAATACCTACCTATATATTATTACGGTAAGCTTTCACTCTTCGGTTTGCTAAAGAAAAGTTAAAGCTTCTTGTCTGTGGTAATCAGTCATATAATATAACAACCTCGTGATCAAATCTGTGCCTTTAGCCCAACGCCACTTTAGCGCTTGTCTACAGAGAGAGTAGAAAACTAAATGTATGGGGATGACACTGACAAGTGTCAAAATTTACGTCAATTCCATATAATTTGGTTTTCTATTCTACATGTAGACAAGCGCTGAATGGCATTTGGCTACAGCTGCTGGATACACATTAGGCGATTTGAAGCGCGCGCTTTGCACTATCCAACACAGTAATATTTTCTCAAATCAAATGAGTAGTTTCTGCGATTAGCGTGTTGAAACAAACGAAACTCTTCAGCATTATATATTAGGTATATATTTAAATGCTACAGTATCGTGGCCTAAATAAGATTGACACAATTCCGTTCGTTGCACAGTGAGAGTTGTCTAAGCGTTTTGGGACAAAAAGGGTTGTGTTTTTGAAACGGTCTGCCGTCCGCAGCCGCGGTGCAAACTGACATATTTCATACACGTACCAACGGAAAATATCCGGACATATCGAATTCTGGAGCGAGGAACCGGTCAAGCGTGAATATGTTGGAGTGATAAGGATTCCGGGTATAAACGAAATATACCTCTAAAAAGAAGCCGGTAACGCACTTGTGACGCCTCTGGTGTCTATGGGGGACGATTTCTTATCCCGGCTCATCTTATAACAAAAATATATACCTACATAAACATAGTATGGATTTTTTTTTAAGAGGGGAAAATCATCGAATGACTGCTGCCCCCTGGGTGAGGCGGGAGGGAGTGTCAGACTCTTACTAACTAAAAACCACCCCGTTCCTTCTCCTGCACGTCGAGTCGGAGCCCCGGTTACCCGTTAGGTTCTCAGGATGGATAATGTACATATTTGTTAGATATAAAAATATTTGTTCACACTAGAATTTTCTCCTGTGTCATGAATCTGTCTACAAACATACAATTTCACATACACATTTATGCTAGCAACGCGCTTGCAACTCTTGTATTCACTCGTATCTTCATGCTTGCCATCAGGCGATCCATCTGCTCATTTTCCAAAATATTCCTTAAAACACCGTACCCACGCTGCCTTCTGCAGTTATTTCCAGTCTCATCCTAAACTCCAGCGGATCTCTAAAAGCCTACAACTACATACAAACTCCAGTTTTTAATAAAAACCCGCAACGAGTATAAAAAGAATGCATCGAAGCTTTCAATCTGGGTACAAGTTTACTATTTTTGGTGAAGAATTTCTAAAACCTTTATCTAGAGGTACTTTTAAAGCCATACACTGGTGTTGTGCGGCACTATACAGCTGTTATTGTGTTATCCACTCGTTTCTTCACGCCTCTAGTTCTTTATAGATGTAAGGGCAGACATGTAGGATTGTAGGTAGGCCTCACATAGTGCTTGTTTTCAATACCTCTCCTAAAATTTATATAACATAACATAACATTACGCCTTTTATCCCTGAAGGGGTAAACAGGCACATTATGCCACTTTTCACTATGTTACGAGTCCCGTGTATTGCGGGTTAGCCTATTGCCATATACCGGGCACAATTCCAGACTCCGTGCTATTCCAGACTCCGTGCTACTACTGAGATTTTTTTTAAAACCCAGTAATACTTTGCACGACCCTTGAATCGAACCCGAGATCCCTTGCCCGCCAGTCGCAGTTGCGACCACTCGGCCAACGAGGCAATCTAAAATTAAGGGCATGCTTAAACTGAGATGGATGATATATTTTGGTTTTCACCAGCCTATGGCCATAAGTGACACCTAACTGGGGTAAGTTTGGGTGCTACGTCACGTTAAGTAACTTTTAGTTAAGAGGTGGTTTACGGGTTGTTGGTGAAAACGGCTATAGATAGGTATAAGAGTGTAGGCACGGCCAGTGCAATGACATTGTGACTAACATTTCTATCTATCACTGTCTGAACATTTATCAAATTCGGTTTACTTGTTTAGGCGAACCACAAACAAATTAACTTTAATATTATGTTCAGTTCAGTACTATCTTGATATTGTGTACGTAATTACATGAGTCTGTGTAACATTCATATTCATCTTATCATAACGATTATAATTATCAATTATTATGTGTAAAAGATAACCAGGACATCTGCACTCAGTGTACTTGACATAATAAAGGAAAAAAGAACTATTAGACACAAGCTTTTGCTATACCAACATATCTTTATATATATAATTCTTCTGTGAGTGTGTATGTCACTGAACTTCTCTCAAAGGACTGGACCGATTTTGATGAAATTCTTTGTGTGTGTTCAAGGGGATCTGGGAAGGGAATGGTGGTAGAAATGAAACAAATCGATGTTTAGGTTATTTATCCTAAACAGCTGAAGTAATTTGAATTAATGTTTGTTTATACATTCAAGTGGATATGCAGGACAACGTCTGTTGGGTCCGCTAGTCTATCTATATAGAGGTAAATAAAAATGAATATCCGTTTGTCAGTCTCGAGAAACTCGAGAACGGCTGAACCGAATTGGCTATGTATTGGTTTTGGTCTTGAAATGTTCGTGGAAGTCCAAGGAGACGCACGCAATCTATACAAAACCAGTTTATCCTGGTATCGCGTTGCATCATCTTTCCGCACATTTAACGTTCAGTTTATACTGGTTATGTAAAGCCGTTTGTACCTATGGAAGGTGAGAAAAATTTTTTATTTAAAAACTGATCCAGGCTAAAATATTCAAGAATATAACAAAAACTTTCAATTCAAATACCCAGGTTACTCATCATCATCATCACTACATAGTATACAACAAAGTCGCTTTCTCTGTCCCTATGTCCCTTTGTATGCTTAAATCTTTGAAACTACGCAACGGATTTTGATGCGGTTGTTTTTAATAGACAGAGTGATTCTTAAGGAAGATTTATATGAATAATACATGCATAATATAGTAGAGAAATACTAATAAATTTAGAGGTTTCTAATGTAATGTCGTAAATCAGCACGTTTTTTTGCGCTCATATTGCAAACGCTGGCTGTACCCTATGAGATAGACCAAAATAATGTACTACAGTATTGACCACCTTAAAAAGTTCAACAAAAAAGTCCGCGATGGTATATGTCTATCTATTAGGGATAACCCACCATAAACATTTTTTATCCTTTACTATATTGATCACTTGTGATTTTAAACAATACAGCATTAATCCTTATCCAATTAAGTACTTTAAAT